GATTTAACCCTTTGAGAACGATGATTTAACCCTTTGAGGACTGAATTAACCTTTTGAGTACACTGAAGGAGACTTAGAGTTAATGGCACCTCTCTTGACCTTTCTACTGCAGGTGTTACAGAAGGTGTAAGAGCATCAGGCCTGCAGGAGGAGACAGTGTTTTTAATTTTCATGACCTGACTCCTCGACCAGGGAGAAAGAGAGGGCGTGTGGCTGGCTGTTAACTGCTCCTTTACACTGCAGCTAAGATGGTCATGTACCCAACTAAGCAAAACAGGGAAATAATTCATGGGTAAATGTTGCGTCACCACAATCTTTAAAAAAAAATACAAAAAAATAAACCTTGTAACAATTTTGGATCCTTGAACACCTCGTATTGTACTGGGTGATCGAAAAGTCACTGTGCACCTATAATAATTAACACTATTTACTGTCCATACAATAAGGTAAAATAAGAATAGTGTGAATGATTACAGGTGCACAGAGACTTTTTGATCACTGTGTCTATAGAAGAAACTATTGAATGTGAGGCTTGGTGACAACTATTGAGATATAAAGCTTAATATCTGAATCTGTTTGGTTCTCTTTTGTTTGTTCACGGAGGTTAATGTTGTTTACAGGGAGGCAGTACTGTGTGTGTGGTGTCCTGGAGGCAGCGTGTTCTAGACCTTTATGACTGCCACTTAAACAAGAATAGAGAAACAGACATTCATGCACACGAGTACATCTACGCGTATGATCTTTTTTTACAATACCCAAATATACGCAGAGGAGCCACTAAAAACTGTTGTGCCTAATAAGGACAATATTAGAAGACTATTGAGGTATATTTATTGTGTTAGGGAATCAATATCCTCCTAATGGCTGTTAGCTACGCCATGGTTCCTTAAAATCACCTGTGATCTTGGCGGAAGTTTCTGATGAATCATTAGTGTTCACCTGTCCCTTGGCACACCTGTGTTAGAGGAGGGGGGGGGGGAAGGGAGGCACACTTGTACAGATGTTCTACACCACTAGCACCAGGTGGCGCTGTTGTCATGACGACCAGGTTAGGTTGATGGGGGTAGAGTAAGTAGTGGGCAGGTGGAGGTGTGGTCGTGGTGGTACATCTTGTTTGGGCAGGAGTAACCGCAAGTCTCTGGAGGAGGTAAGTCATTAGAGGTGCGGTCAGTCTATTAACGGTACAGGAAAATAGTAAAGTTGGGTCGTCGGTGTTTCTCTTAGCTGGATATACGAGGGCAGTGTAAGGCCCCTTCCTCCGGGGTTATGACAATGTTGTTCACCGTCATTCTCAACCTATGACCGCCATCTCTCTTCTTAAAAGTGGAAAATTCTCAATGACGGTCAACTGAAAATATATGAAAATGTAATACCTAGACAATCCGCACAGGTAAATAATGTTGTATGGCAGGTTTTTCTCACCTCAGAAGTATATATATTACACCACACAATGTCAGAATAAGTGGCTGCCCCCCAGCTGTGTCCACTAACACAAAGTGGTAGTCCCTAGTAATTATCTCCCGCTTATCGTGGAGGAGGGTGTGGTCCTGGGCCGCCTGCTGGGCCAACAACGTTACACTTCCATACACACACTCAAACACTTTCAACGAAAGATTAAACAGAGAAAGACTTTACATATCGGTTTGGAATTCTTTATTTTCATCTAGAACACAGAACCGAGATATTAGTTTGTCTATCATACCGTGTAGTGCTTCAGTTGGACGGATATTTTTATATAGTTAATTACGGGTAAAGGGCGGCAGAGGATAGGAAGCATGTTAGAAAGAAGAAAAATAACAGAATTATTATTTAGTTACCAAACAAATCTTTCCCAAATACCTGCAAACTTAAGGGGACAACAAATGAACCTCACCCAGCACCACCAAACTGTGGGCAGCGTACATCTAAATTATCAGGTATGAGTAATTGGTGACATGTGATGAGTGACTCCCTGTGGCAGTAGGTCCCAATTTGTGAGACAATGGAGGCGATGATCCTGAAGAGTATTAGGTGATGGTGTAACCTTCACCTCGTCAGCTGATCTTTTTTTACGTTGTCTGGAGGACTTTGATCACCTGCTGTATGTTTACACTGTTATTATTAAGTGGAGTTAATGTTGTTCTATTGTACACGTAAAGTTGGTATGGAAAATTGAGTTTTGGGTTTACATTACTTTATGTAGTACGACACTTTTATTGGGTCGTTTTTAAAGTCTTTGAATATGGAGTGTGTGCTACTGTCAATTTTCCCATTTTCTGGATCAAAACCATTTTCCTGTGTGGTTTATCGAGATTAATCTTGTCCACGTTTCCATTGTGGAAGTACCTAGTTGTGTATTATGGTGGTAATGATGATAAAATTATTAACAGTAATAAATAATAATAATAATAATATCGATAGTAATAGTAATGATACGTTTATTAGCATTAATGCGGTGTACTGTAGTTGTAGTAGTGGCAGTACTGTACAGTATTAGTAATCACATCATCTTGCCTTACAGCTGTGTGACATTGAGCTGGTTGCTGGCGCCGTGTCCGTATTCGCTCATCGCGTGGTGCTGGCTGCGGCTTCGGCGTACTTCCATGTAATGTTCAACAGTGAGTACATGCACCAATCATATGTTTTAGTGGTTACTGTGCCGTCCATTATAACACCTGGGAACTTGGAGCGGAATTACTACTGGCAGGTGTTGAAGCAGGTGTTTTAGTCTTACACCATAAAGTTTTTGTTTTATTGATACTGATTGCCGTAATGCGCAGGTGTGTGTGTGTGTGTGTGTGTGTGTTTTACTGGTGGAGCGGCCACGTCAACGCTAATAGAGCACACGGAAACACCTGTGTCCTGTACCTGTTGTCTTGTTCAAACCCGGAACCTCGAGCTGTGACGGTGTAGGCTACTGTCTTGTGGTGTATGGAGTCGATAAATACAAGAAGAAACAGATAGAAATAAATTAAATAAATAGATCGATAGACATATACCACAATTTTTTTAGTAGATAGAATTCACTTCCTCCTTTTGCAATCTCTATTTCTATCCTTTAAATTGGTCTTAGTAATAGATGGCTAGGTAATGCAGTGGGGAATAGATACATAGATACAGTGCTTTGATATTGTATTTGGTAGACACACTTCAATTACCTCTACGGTGTTTGAGTAAGTGAGTGTAGGGTTAGTGAACTCTTAAGTGAGGGGCTGTCTGTACATGTGACTTAGGTTATGTAGTGAGCCAGGTGTGTGTGTGTGTGTGTGTGTGTATATCTCTTTCTATCGTTTGTTCTCTTATTCTTTAACTTCACACACACACACACACACACACACACACGCACACACACACACACACACACACACCAGGTAAGTTATTCAGCAGCCTCTTGTAATAAGGGCCTCGTTTATGATCATATTTTAGACATAATGTGTTACTTTAAGACATACAGTACCGGGCAATACGTGGGGGACTTTACTCATCCAGTCTCTCTCTCTCTCTCTTTCTTTTTTTAACTCGTAATAAAATCTCCTACTGCTCACTCATTAAAAATATATTATAATTCTCTCTCTCTCTCTCTCTCTCTCTCTCTCTCTCTCTCTCTCTCTCTCTCTCTCTCTTTTTTTACTTCCTAGGTAGATAAAGTAATATAACTGCCCTTTTATCTCTCAGTAATAATAAAAGTCGTCCTCTGGTCTTAAAAAGTTAAGTGTTTAATAATAAGAAAACTTCTCCAGGTACACGAGTCTCTCGGGGGAAGGGAGGGTGACATAACTTTTTAGTGCGTCTATATTTTTTCTCTCGTCTTTTTTTTTTTACGGTATATTTTGTTTTGTTCTGTCACTTATAGCACGTGACGTCACACATCAGCTGATGGTTTGTTTATGTTCGGCAGATCGGATTACTTATGAGGATATGTTAAATTTTGGTGACATAAAAGTAAAAAAGGGTGACGACTTATTTTCTGGGGCTTAAAAATATGACTAATACAAATTTCCATTATTTTTTTCCTTTTGTTTCTTTATCCTTCTTAATATATTTTTTCTTTTTTTCTATCGTTCATATTTTTTCTTTTATGTGTTTAGGCGATGAGACTCCAGCGATGTGTACATGTCGGCAGAAGAAAATTTATTCACGGAGGCACGAGCGTAGAATTGTGCTTATAGTTTTATTTTCTGTAGAAGTTTTATGAATTTAATATTGAATTATGAAGGCCATATCTTCTCACCTAACTAATGACGTACCACTGACCTGACCTGACCTGACCTGACCTTATACAGCTTTATTTGTCGTCTCATAAGAAATTCTGGTGATCCACATAATGAAGATGTTGTTTATATTTGAGGGAAAAAACAAATAGATTCATATCATCCTTGACGTAAGATCCATCGACCATAACAAAGAAATGTAAACAAACCCACGTGTGTCTGTGGTGATGTCATTAGTATAATCCCTACCCTACCCTACTGTACCACACCCCACCCCACCCCACCCCACTCCACCCTCCACCCCTCCACCACACCACCACCCCACCACACCTCCTCCCTCCACCCCTCCTCCACACCCCACACACCTCCCACACACACACCCTCCACACCCCCTCCACCCACCCCTCCACCCACCCACCCACCCCCCACCCCACCCAACCCCACCACACCCCACCCGTCCTTACTGGTGTTGGCTGGAGGTTTAAGCAGCTGTATGTCATAAAAAGTAAATGGCGTTGATTAGCGACTTTCGTCACCGTGTTTACTGGGTTATTAATGATCCTCTGCACTGGGGTCATGTGACGAACTCATTAGCACCACCACCACAAGTTAATGTGTTAATGATCATGTGTTTGTTTGTTTGTTTATTCAGATATATTAATTCAGTATTGACGTTTTATAGTATTGTAGTCTAATGTTTTTTTTTATTTTACTTTTTTTTTTAGGATTACATGAACATTAGACACCCCAGTGTATTTTACCTTATTATTTAACTAAGGCTTTCTCTTGGGAGGTTAGGTTAGGTTACAGGAGATAAAGTTTGGTTAAGGGAATGTTAAGTTAGGATAGGTCAAGTTAGGTCACATTTAATTAGCTGGGGGGGGTGTTTAATCGTCATGTGATCATAAATTTCTCTCAATAAAATGAAAGTACAATCACGAATAAATAAATAAAGCTATTGTAAATAAAACCAAGACCGCATAACCTTGTATGTAATTAGTGTCTCAGGTGTTACATTTTACCTGAAGAAACACGAAAAGAAAAAGTATGTGTCTAACGCACCTCCAGCGTTATATAAAAAAATCCCGTGAAAATAAAATGTGGACCATGAAAGGAGAAAAAAATTATAATGAATATATTCTAGACGCCATTACCCTTCTGGACGAGAGATGGAAGGTCTCTTATCTCACTTCCCTTCCTCTCCCTCTCTCCCTCAATTTTTCTTTCCTACCTCCCTCTCCCTTCATACCACCCTCCCTCTCTCCCATCCTCCCTTCCTCATTCCCTCCTTCCCATCCCTTTCCCGACCTTCTTTAACCCTTCTTCCCCTCTTTCCTATTCTTCCTTCCTCTCCTACTTATCCCTCTCCCCCCTCCCCCCCTTCCCCCCCTCCCCCCTCCCCCTCCCCCCCCACACAGGTACGTACTGTGAGGTTATATACTTGTCTCTTTCCTGTGTCTTACGATCCCTTAGGGGCAAAGAGCGCGGCTTGGAGATATGTCCCCCCCTCCCCTTCCTACCCCTACCCTTTCCCTTCCACCTTCCTTCCCTTCCCCTTCTCACCCTTGCTCCCTCCTCTTTTCCTACCCTCCTTCCCTCCTTCTATCCTCTCTCTCTCTACCTCTCTTCCCCTACCCCTCCTCCCCCCCCACCACACCTTCCCCTCCCCCCTACACCCCCCCCCCACCCACCCACCCACCACCTTCCTTCCTTCCTTCCTTCCTTCAGGGATATTAACTAGAACCCACGTTGTGCACACCCTAGGGAGGCAAGACAGTGTTACCCCTGGAGGTAAGGGGTGAGAATGACTGTGGGTAGGGTAGGTGTGTCATCACTATGGTAGGAGGGTTGTTGGAGTCACTGGTGTCTTGAGTAAAGATGATGATGATGTGGTGGGTGAGAGATGCTTATCTCTCTCTCTCTCTCTCTCTCTCTCTCTCTCTCTCTCTCTCTACTACCTGGGGTCTCTTTTTATCTCCTTTAGTACATTCTTTATCTCTCTGGGGATCACATAAAGGGAATGTTTTTTCCTCTCTCTCTCTCTCTCTCTCTCTCTCTCTCTCTCTCTCTCTCTCTCTCTCTCTCTCTCCAGTACTCAGGTTTACTCGACATTACTATTTCCTTCCTCTCTTCGTTCCCAAAAATCAATATGCCATTCCCCCCCTCTCACTCTCTCCCTTTCCCTCCTCTCTCCCTTTCCCTCTCTCTCTCTCTTCTCTCTCTCTCTCTCTCCTCTCTCTCTCTCTCTCTCTCTCTCTCTCTCTCTCTCTCTCTCTCTCTCTCTCTCTCTCTCTCTCTCTCTCTCTCTCTCTCTCTCTCTCTCTCTCTCTCTCTCTCTCTCTCTCTCTCTCTCTCTCTCTCTCTCTAACTCTCACCCCTCCCCCTTCCCCCCCCCTCACTATGTCTAGACACCCACTGACATTTCTAACAACCTCCCCTTCCTCCTCCTCCTCTCCTCCTCCCCCCACTCCTCCTCCCCCCCCCTCCCTGTCCCTCCCTACTTTCTCTCCTTCACTTTCTTCTCTCATATCTAGACATCTCCCCTCCCCTCTCCCCCCCCCCCACCATATTTAAAGGGCTCTACACGTCACATTATAATTTCCTGTTCCGCCTCTTCTTGTTTTGGTGGTCGATGGTGGTAGTTCTTCTCACCTGTATGGTTGTATGGTGGTGGTCGATGGTGGTTGTTCCTCTTACCTGTATGGTTGTATGGTGGTGATCGATGGTGGTAACTCCTCTCACCTGTATGGTTGTATGGTGGTGGTCGATGGTGGTAGTTCTTCTCATCTGTATGGTTGTATGGTGGTGGTCGATGGTGGTTGTTCCTCTTACCTGTATGGTTGTATGGTGGTGGTCGATGGTGGTTGTTCCTCTTACCTCGTGACCCGTGACCTCCTCGTGACCTGTGACCTCCTCGTTACCTGTGTGTTATGTGTGACTGAACTAACATCATCTTCATCTTAGTGTTTATTTACGGGAGAAAACATTGAAAATAAACTTTATATGGCTACTTATTTTATCACACATAATAAACAGTGAATATAATAAAAAAAATCATGATTATTTTCAATCCATTATTGTAAGTATTAATTTTGTAAATATAAAAAAAATAAACCTTTTTTTACATATTTATTCTACTACTACTTATTCATTCATTATTTACAGTATTTATTTATATTTTATTAATTTTACTTTTTTTTTATATTTAACACGAGTGGTGAGGTCAGTCGTACATGTTAGGTCACGCTGGGAGGTCAAATAGCACTTAATAGTTAACTGCAGTGTGTGTGGTAATGACTCGCCCTTGGGTAAGTGATTATAGTGCTCTCTCTCTCTCTCTCTCTCTCTCTCTCTCTCTCTCTCTCTCCTCCTTCACTTTCGTTCATATTGGTCTTTGGTTCTTTCTC